TATAAGTTTAAATTATTTTAATTTATATTTAAATATAATAAAATATAATAATATAATAATATAATAAAATAGAATTATTTGAATATTATATTTAAATATTATATATAATATTATATGTATTAAAATAATATATATAATATTTAATTATATTATAATACGTAATATTTGAATAATATATTTAAATAATTAAATATAAATTTTATATATGTATACATAAAATACTAATAAAGTATTAATAAAATTGTAATATACAAAATAATATTGCAAATAAAAAATAATAATAATTATAAAATAATATAAATTTATATAATATATAATATATAATATGTAAATTTATTTTGTATTAAATTTTTAAAATTTAAAATGACGTGAATCATATTATCGGCAGATGAGATTGAAAAGACGTGAATTTAGCGGTCACGAATGTGTTAACAAATTGAACAGTAACTCCACCATGTTTTAAACTTTGATATATTCAAATTTTTAAAAAATTTCATATACTTATCATTGTTTATACTTATCTCTACATTTACTTAATTTTAAAAACAAAATCATAGATAACGTTCTATGCAAAATTGAATTAACAATCATCCCTTAATAAATTAATGTAAAAATTGATATTTGTGTTTCATCGCAAATGACAAGAGAAAAGAAAAGCGAAAAAAAAAGCAGCGAACAAAAGAATGAAACAAACTAATCACCCAATTTTGTCTCAACCATGATCGATACCCCGTAAAAATAAAACACAAAGGAAGACCAAAAATAATAGTTAAATTTTTCTCAACGTCTCGGGGATCGATTTATCTTGGTCTTTCGAAAAGACGAGTAACTCTCTTCGAGGAATAAGAGACGCGTTGATTTTCAACGCCCACGAGGAACCTCTTAAAAGGTACACGGGGTTTAAAGCGCGTCAAGCAGCATTTCGTGATAAAGCTGACGTGATTTTTCAAGTCTCTCATGGTACGTCGATAGAGGGGTGATATCCGACATGCAAGACGAGCAACATATGCACAAACGGTCCTCTTTTTTTCCAAGATAGGAACGACCTAACACCCCATTTGTACGAACCTCTTTCTCTCTCTCTCTCTCTCTCCCTCTCATTTATAAAAAGGATTAAAAAGCTCTTTCGCCCTTTCACTAAAAGATAAAAATATACTCTTCCCATTAACAGCCTCTATTCCTTTTTAATATCTCAGTATTTCTATTTTTTATTGTTGTATTTCACGCGAGAAAAGGGTTTCCTATACTTTGATTATGATAAGATGATTTATTTGTTTAACAAAGAAAATGACCCATTAACGAATTATATAATTATATATTTTTACATAAGATATCACAAAGATCTGCATTAGCAATGAATAGAAGTAAATTTATTGATCCCTTAAGGATAATCGACAAAATGGCTAATGGAATCTTTTTTGTTATAAGCATGATTGGACAATTTTTAGAACCATCGGTCATACGTTCAATTTTCCGAAAAAAATAGGAAAGAAAAAAAAAGAAAGATGAAGAAGATGAAGAAGAAAAGAGAGGGAGTAAAATCCTTCGAACCTGCTTAAGGCCTATTTTTATCCCCACTCCTCTTTCTCTGTCTGTCTGGATTTTCACGTTTTGCCAAACAAAATCGCTGCATGCGGTCCCAAGATGATCGTTCGACTAAAATACGAAGTTATTCTAAACGTGCTTCAAATGCAAAGCTTTTCTGATCGATTCACGGTTCGCTTATTTCAACGTTTCTTGTGCATACACATGTGTGCAATGTATTTTGTTGTTGTGTGCATGTATTATTATATTATACGGTACACGGGTATCATTATGCAACGATTTCTCCTTCTTCTACTACTACGTCGTTGTAAACGTTGCTGAAGTAAAAACCGGTCGACAAAAGAGACACGGCAATCTCTTTGCCCTCAGCTAAATATATGCAACATTTTATTCGCTTTGCTTTTAAAAAGGTGACAATATCCATCGACAGATTTTCAACGATCGAACCATAAAATGATCATCTGAAATGATATTATCATTTTTCTTATCTTTTTTTTCCCCCCGTCTTATTTTATTCGATTTGAAGTAGAGTTGTGTAAAAAGGGTGGAGGGTGTCATCGTTCTTGATGAATTTTACACGTTAAAGGACGTAGATTAAAGCACGTGTGTTCTTTTTTTTATTTCTTTTTTTTTTTTCTTTTTTTTTAATGTCTGAGAAAACATCCAGTTAGTCGAGTGAACGATTAATCAGTTGTCACGCTTGGGTTCAACCAATGTTTAATTTGGAATGAAAGGAAAAGGAAATGAATTTCGACAGGTTTTCGAAATATGTTTCCATACCTAAGAAAATAATTATAAAAAATTAAACACGTACTACGAGGTGGGAAATAGATTAACGATTTTCGACAAAAATAATTTAAGATAAATTTCGAGTATGAACAAAATTAATATGTAATTATATAAATATGTTAAAAAATAGTATCCGATCATTTTCCAATATATTCCTATCTCAATATATTCAACTTCATAAATTATTTAGTTTATTATTTATGGTGCGTATGAGAAATTCGTAAATTTACATATCGAAATCGAATTCGATAGTATCTCACTCACAGTTAAGAAACAAGACAACGATGTTGAACATTCGAGCACTCCACCCACGCTTACGAACGAACGAACGAACGAACGAATGAACGAACCACCATCACCGAACGTTCAACAGCACCACCATAGTCGGCAGCCATCATCGGTGATTATCACGCGCCACCGCGGCTGTAAAGTCGTAAATAAAATCGAAAAACGTTGCTATGTTGTGTTGTGTTGCGTTATGGTTGCGTTGCGTTGCGTTGAGAGTTTTGTTGAGTTGTGCTGCGTTGGTTACCTTTTGGCCTGGTCCAGTGTTAAACAAAGGGCCAACAACGGTTTGTCGGTCTGCTCGACATATCTTTAATCTCTGTTTGCCGAAGCACCCTCATCTACCACGAGATAATCGGAAATAATTATTCGTTAGATAAATACGATCGCAGCCGATGATAGCCGAGTTAAATTTATGATGGACCGGTGCGCGGTGCATCTCTTGCAAATGATGCTCCCAACTGAATGAACGAACCTCTGGGACTTGGCACTCACCATCTTCCTCGTCCTCGTTGTTTACTATGTATATTCTTTCTTCAAACTCATTCCTCTATCTCATTGCCCATTTCAATAGGACCACCAAAACTTTTACTTTGATACAACTCATCAATTTTGATAACATATTCTACCACTCACTCTCTCTCTCTCTCTTTTTCAATATTAAAATCAATTATTTTTTTCTCATCACGATTTTCATCAACAAACATTAATTTATGGAATCTGATTATACAAATTTATTGAATTCATTTAAAATGATCATCTCACGAAACTGTAATATCATTTAGAAGGAAAAGAAACTAATTTAAAATCAAATTATGTATTATCGTAATACCGTGAGATTTTGATTAATAATAAAAAAAAAAAAAAAAAAAACAATCAATAATAATAATGACCAGTTTTAAAGACGACACTGAATTTCTTTTTTTACGTGTGCATAACCTAAAGAAGAACGTTCTTCAAACACGTAAAAGAAAATATTGTCGGCGTGGGTCGAATGTAAAAGGAAAGCAAGCAAGCAAGCAAGCAAGCAAGCAAGCAAGCAGGAGGACTGTTCGTTCTTCTTCAGCATACAGTGTATGACTGTAATCTTAGGCTATCTAACGTAGCGAACGTAGCGAGGTGATGATTTGCGACCTCCCTGCAGCGCCCTTGTAGAAAGATAAAGACAGAGAGAAGATACCCATAAGGTAAAAGGGAACGGGTAAAGAGAGGGTGGTGACTCTGACTCGGACCTTTAGATTCAATTTCGCGGGGCGTCAGAGCGGCTGACACGACGTCCGCCCACCTTTTGTTAAAACTTGATGTACGACACGGGATCTTATGTTCCAACCCGTACCCCGTCTAAACCCCCTCCCCCTTTAACCCCAATGGAACCCTTCTATTCCTCCTCTCGAAGCTCAAAATCAAATTTCGTCTATACATTTATTTTCATAAATATCACATCAACATAAGTATTTCGTTGTATTCGAAACTTAATTAATCCTGCAAAATGTTCTTTTCTGTTTTTTTTTTTTTTTTTTATTATAAAATTCAACACAAATTCTAAAAGTATTTCTAACTTGATTTTAGGTTCTTGTTTGTTTCTTTTTTTTCTTTTTCGTTTTCTTTGAAACCTACGGACCTACCCAATTCCACTGTGAATCCTTTTTAGAATTAAAAAGATCAGTTCGGTTGTTTTTTTTTTCTTCCTCCTTAACCTCCACCAACACCCCTCGGCCAAAAGACGAAGACGATTCTTCTTTTAAGCCGTTCCTACGTTTTTACATTCTCGACGAAATCCTCCTCGAGGTCTTTGTGCCAGTTTATTACGTTTCCCGGGCAAATGATGTCATTAGATATACTTAGGCGAGACTTTATAGTCGTCCTTTATGTTGCTCCAACGGCTCCCGGGTGAAACGAATTTAAGAAACTTATGGTTCAAGAAATCATCGTCGCGTTCTTCGGTATATACTGAAACATTTCGGTTTAGTTGCCTTGTCCCTGGACAAAAAACGATTTTGCAAAAGAGAACCAACTATTCTCTTCACTTTTTATTACTTCTTTTATTAAAAGCAAACCTTTGAAAATAAACTTCTATTTTACTTCGTCTTTTACACAGATCTTTCTTTTTTCTTTTTTTTTATTACCCATATTATTACTACCTTTCGTACCATTAAATATTTTTTTATTCTCGACTGAGAAAAAAAAAATTAGTCGCGTGTCAAAAAAGTAAAATTTATTTTATTTAAATGAAACAAAACAAAACAAAACAAAAAAAAAACAAACAAAAAGAAAATATTACGATCGTAAGTTTGATATGTTTATTTAAGGTTATTAAAATTTTTCGTGAAAAAATTCTTAATTAAAATTGAATAAATTTATAAATATTATAATTAACAAAAATGCCGACTGAAATTCCTATTTGCGCTTTAAATTCACCCTCAAAGGAATACTTTTTTCGTGTCAAGCATAAGAAATTCTTTAAAAGAATGGCAAAAAAAACACACTTCAATTACAGAGAAGTGGAAGGTTAAGTAAATCCTAATTCATTGAGTAAATCACACACACACACACACACACACAAGTTTCGAATTTATTAATTATTATTATTCACTCACAGCTTTGTCTGTGATATATAGAAAAGTGTTGAGTATTTCCGGTCCAATGACACGTTCGGTTTTTCGCGATATATTTCATTCAGGACTTGATTTTACCGAAAATATTCGTCATTTATTGATAGACAGAATATTTTCTACCATCGACAAAACTACTTCTCTTCAAGTGAGATTATAAAATGAATTTTAAACTAACAACGAAATCTGAGTAATTAATTTTACAAATGATCTATTTTGTAGATTCGTATGGGTGATTGGATCGAAGCACTCTCAATCATTCTTCGTGGTTCTTTAGACGAAAGAATCCACTTTGCTTATAAAGTATATCGTACAATTTGATTTTTTTATTTTATAAAATACTTGTCAATTATTAATAAATAATTAATTTAAAAAAAAAACATCAATAGGTTTACGATTTGTTAAAAACAAATAGATTAAAAAAGGAACAAATGTTTCCATTGATGAGAGGTTGTTTGATCGCTTATTCACCCGATGAAGATCCAGACGATGGTGTCAAAGTAAATATTACATGCCTAACAGAATTTTTAATAGCTTGTAACTTTGGAAATTCTTTTTCCACAGGACTTGATAGATCTGGTGATTAAAAAAATCGACATAGATCGTGATGGATACGTTTCAGAAGAAGATTTTTGTACAGCAGTTAAAGAAAAAGGAGAATTTTTGTTGGAATGCATGGGTCCTGTTTTCCCATCGAGAGATGCACGGCACTCATTTTTAACAACATTTACCGATCAATTAGGACCAATTTAATTAACCAAACAAAAATGAAAGAAAATTATTTGCTTGAAAAATAATGTAATAGCAAAAATGAAAGTATGATTTTTGTAAAGCTTTTCAAGAGGGTACCATACTAAGATTCTAAAAGTACATCATCTAGCTTTCACGCCAATGAACTCACAAACTTGCTCTAATCAGACAGAAGATATCCGCCTAAACGCTTCATTAAGTTTTCCAAGTCATCGATCTAACCTTCTAGCGAGTCTTAAAGATTTACGAAAGTAGATCGAAAATAGCCACGTTTACCTACGTAAACAATCGTCAATGATGCATTATAATAGCATTTATTAGATACATTAAGTAAATCAACGTTTAAAGATTATCTTTTATTTTCTTTCATCGTTTTATATATATATACATATATATGAAAAAAAAAGGAAATTTTAAGATACTTATCTTAAAAATTATTTATCACAGTCGTCCGTAAATGAATAAAAATAACGTGAATTAGTTTGACAAAATAAGAAAATTATTGTAAATTACTCAACTATTATTTTCTCACGAATCCTAACATTTGTAAAGAACTAAGGAAACAAATATTTCTTACCGACAAAAGTTTCGACCTATTCATCGAACGAGTTTTAAAAGCAGAAGTAAAGGATTTAAAGTAAACAAGAAATCGAATAAGAATCTAAAGAAACGTCTCTGTAATACCGCGCACCGTTAGGAAGCCTTCTGGGTGTATTTCGATTCTACCGGGGTTGGCGAAATCCTTAGGTTAAACGTGTTACGGAAAAACATAATGAATGTTTGACGATCCGTTGAGGTTTGAACGAGCCCGATATGTGCGCTCGCGCGTATACACGCATATATACATACACATAAACACTTCTCAAGCAGCTATAACAACAAATTAAAGGTAGAAAATCTCTCGAAGCTTTCGTCGTGTAGCAACGACGGCCTCGAACACTATACTACGTTGTGTAGTACCTAACACACAACCGTAAATTCCACTTACAAGAGTTGGTAAGAAGATGCGTTTGCGTGGGTGGTTTAGAGAATGTATGAGTAGTATTTCTTCTATGTAGAAGTGTATTTATTCTCTCTCTCTCTCTCTCTTTCTCTCTTTCTTTCTGTGTTCGTCTCTTCAGCAAGTCTTTTTTTTGGGGGGTTGGAGGTGGAACGATATTGTGTAAAGAGTATAATAACGTGCGTATGAAAAGCGAAATCCTTTGTGGGTAGCCGACCGTGTCCTGAAAGGATCTGTCTGCGTGTGGGAGAAAGAAAGAGAGACCAAGAGCTGCGCGCGAATGATCGTCTGAGGAGTTAGGGCACCAGCTGAGAAAACATGCCCGTGGCGTGTCGACGATGAAACACCCTATCGACGCGACCCTTACTGACGTGTATATAATGTTCTCTTTTCGTTAGAAATATGTACCTTCCGAATATCTATCCATATAATAGGGGAGGCTTGAGAAATTTGGTTTACCAGAACATTTCATTATTTTATAGTACATACACGCATCCTCCCTATTTTTTCTTTTGTTTTTACGAATATCTTTCGATAGACGAATATTACGAAAGAATATTGTAACGTGGTATGCAACCCTGACGCAAGATTGCCTAACGTGATACAAAAAATAATATATATATATATATAGTTAATATAAATTTAAAAATTAATAATATTTTTTTTTTCTTATTAAAAGATCGGTCCTGTGATGTGATACAAAAAATATTAGATATATATATGTTATATATAAATTCTTCGATAGTTCGAATGGCATAATATGCGTAGATATATATATCTACATAAATTATAATCAGAGAGAACGTATATACAAAACTCGCTTCGGGTGAAGGAGGATAACCGTTGATTTGAACGGAACGCGATGATGAGACGCGAGCTCCGATTCGATTTGCGTGGCCCACGCCCACGCATCAAAGGAACCCGACCAGCACGATTCGTCTTGTGTGGAACGATTACGAAAGTATCTTTTGCTAGAGATATTTATATTGATACAGATATATCCTCGCCAGGATGATAAATCCTCGATCATGATTCGTTTCGGAATGAATTAATTGAAGAATAACCACACACAAAAAAAAGAAAACTTTTCAAATTAAAATTAATCTCTATTTTTGTCATTGAATTTAACATTAATGTGAATAAATTTGAATAATCCAATCTCTACTTTAGAGAAATCACAAATCCAAAATATATAGATATAAGGTAATATATATAACACACACATACTCTTACAAAGCTTAAAAATCTACTTTCATTTTTGCTATTAAATTATTTTCCATGTATTATATTATATTTAATTGAAAAGATAAGATAGAAATTTATTGACAATAAATAATTGTGTCCTTTACCAAAAAAAAAAAAAAAATAATAATACATATTTAATAATAATAATCATATAAAAATTATTAAAAAAGTGAATGGGAATAGTATGATAAAAGGAGTAAGATATCAGTAACGAACTTTAGCTCGATATCTTGAATAATTCAAGAAATATACATTACCTATACACTTATATATACATATATACTCGTATATACTCGTTCGTGGATCGTGTGAGATCGTTTGATTTATTAAAGGAGAATATTGTTTACCGTGTCCCGCCACGGGTCTCGTGTAGTTTGCCTTTCGGAATCGCATCCATAAATACGAGGACGACGACGACGACTACGACGACTACGACGACTACGAGAACTCGCACGATGCTTTTCAAAGAGGAAAGGAATAAAGAGAAGGAAGAAAATGGAAGAACGAGAAAGAGAGAAGGGTGAAAGAGGGCCAAGCTTGCACAATGTTTCGCGCGTGGAATGTTCAATGAAGCGTGCAGATGCGTTCCCTCTGCATTTCCCTCCTCCTCCTCCTCCACCTCCTCTTCCTCCTCACCCTCACCCTCATCCCTTTCTCCTTTTTTCCATCTCTCTTTCACTATCCTCTTTCAACTCAGTTTCATTTCGCACGAGAAGAAGAACCCACGTGTTCCGTTGGTTGGAATCGAACAGAAATAAGATGAATAAGAAAAAGGATAAGGATAAGAAGAAGAAGAAGAAGGAGGAGGAGGAGGAGGAGAAGGAGGAAGAGTAGGAGGAGGAAAAGGCAGCAGCAGCAGCAGCAAAGCAAGCAACAGCAGCAGCATGAGGTCACCCGTTCGAACACGACACCGTCTTGTCGAAACAGCGGGATCTGCTCTGACACGAGCTCTCTGGGACAAATGGATTCAGGAAGATCCCGCTAACGAATCCGCTGATTTATCGCGTTCCTAACTACGTTTTTTTATTTTTTATTTTTTTTTATTTCTCTATTTCTTTTTTGTTTTTTTTTTGTCCAATCTTTTTTATTCTTCCTCAATTATTCCAAGTTTCCAACTTTTATGCTTCATTCCCTTACCAGGTTCACTTTTTATCTATCCAGTTTTTAAACACCATATTTTTTATTTTTTTATTTTTTATATTCCTTTCGACGTAGTACAAAATGCAATGGTTTTACATCAATGATGATTTTTTATTCTTTTCTTTTTTATTCGTTCTCAATTATTCCAACTTTCCAACGTTTGTATTCTCATCCCCTATCAGGTTTTTTTTTTTTTTTTAACTATACTTTTTATTTTTTTATATTCTTTTTTACCGTAGTAGGAAATACGCGATGGTTTTACATATCTATGTGATGATATTCTTTTTTTCTTTATTTCTATATGAACGATACAGTTCGGTACAGTTTGTTAACATTGTGGATTTAACGAGAACCCACCTATACTCATCCACGTACTCTGTGATTCCTACATTTTTACTATAAAGAGAAATAAAACAAAAATTCTTATACTATGAACGTGAGATTTAAAGCGCTATATCACGACTCGCTGCACACGAAAATGAATCGATCATACGTGGGGGAAACGAATTCAAAGAGAAAGGTTTGTTCTCCGGATTTAAATCGAAGTCGATAGTAGTACTGCAGATCGTGTTCTGGGTTTGTAAAAGTGATAGACAGAGAAATAAAAAGAGGAAGAGAAAAAGAATGTGTGTATGTGTGTGTGAGATAGAGAGAGAGAGAGAGAGAGAGAGAGAGAGAGAGAGAGAGAGAGAGAGGAAGAG